TACTAAAAGCAATAAAAAAAGCATTCTTCAAGTATGTGAGTAGCAAAAGACAAACAAAAGACATAGTGGCACAGCTCCACAATGGAGATTGAAAAATGATAACAAAGGACAAAGAAAAGGCAGAGGTGCTCAATTCCTATTTTAGTTCAGTCTTTTCTCATAAGACAGAGTATGAACTTCCAAACAAATTGGAAGTGCAAGGGGGGGAGGGGGACAGGATTGCAGCTGGATATAGATAAATAAATAGTCAAGGAATACCCTACCACCTTGAACAAGTTCAAATCTCCGGGGCCAGATGAGCTGCATCTGAGAGTACTGAAGGAACTGGCTGAAGAACTCTCAAAACCGCTATCCATTATTATCTTGAAATCATGGGAAATGGGTGAGGTGTCAGAGGATTGGAGGAGGGCCAATGTTGTCCCTGTCTTCAAAAAGCGCAAAAAAAGAGAGGAACCTGGGAACTACAGGCCAGTCAGGCTGACATCAGTTGCAGGCAAAATTCTGGAACAGATCATAAAGCGGTCATTGTGCAAGCACCTAGAAAACAATGCAGTAATAACTAGAAGCCAACATGGATTTGTCAAGAACAAATCCTGCCAAACTAATTTGATCTTGTTTTTTGATCAGGTCACCTCCTTGATAGACATAGGGAATGCTGTAGACATAATATATCTTGACTTCAGCAGAGCTTTTGACAAAGTGCCCCATGATATGCTGATTAGCAAGCTAGGTAGGTGTGGGCTGGATAGATCAAGTGTCAGGTGGATATACAATTGGCTACAGAATCGCACTCAGAGGGTGATGATTAATGGATCCTTCTCTAACTGGGAGGAGGTAACTAGTGGGGTACCCTAAGGCTCAGTCCTGAGCCCACTCTTCAATATTTTTTATTAATGACTTGGATGAGGGAGTGCAGGGAATGCTTGTCAAATTTGCAGTTGATGCCAAATTGGGCAGAATAGCTAATAACCTAGAAGACAGAAACAAAATTCAAAATGACCTTGATAGGATGGAGCCCTGGGCTGAAAGCAACGAAATGAAATTCAACAGGGATAAGTGCAAAGTACCGCACTTTGGAAAAAGAAACCAATTCCACAGTTACAAGCTGGGGGATACTTGGCTCAGCAAAACTAAGGGCAAGAAGGATCTTGGAATTGTCGTAGATCAGAAGCTAAATATGAGCCAATAGTGTAATGTGGCTACAAAAAATGTAAATGCTATTTTAGGCTGCATTAATAGAAGTACTGTATAGTTTCCAAATCCTGCGGGGTGCCGGTTGCCCTCTATTCAGCACTGGTTAGGCTTCACTTTGAGTACTGTGTCCAGTGCTGGACACCACACTTCAAAAAGGATGCTAACAAATTGGAACAAGTTCAGAGGAGGGTGACAAGGATGATCAGAGGGCTGGAAACCAAGCCTTATGAGGAAAGACTGAAATAACTCGGCGTATAGTTTCCAAATCCTGCGGGGTGCCGGTTGCCCTCTATTCAGCACTGGTTAGGCTTCACTTTGAGTACTGTGTCCAGTGCTGGACACCACACTTCAAAAAGGATGCTAACAAATTGGAACAAGTTCAGAGGAGGGTGACAAGGATGATCAGAGGGCTGGAAACCAAGCCTTATGAGGAAAGACTGAAATAACTCGGCATATTTAGCCTTGAGAAAGGAAGACTGAGGGGTGATATAGCACTTTTCAAATATTTGAAAGGCTGTCATACAGAGGAGGGGCAAGATCTGTTCTCAATCATCCCAGAGTGCAGGATACGCAACAATGGGCTCAAATTAAAGGAAGCCAGATTTTGGTTGAATATCAGGAAAAACTTCCTAACTGTTAGAGCAGTACGACAGTGGAACAGTTACCTCAGGAATTGGTGAGTGCTCCAACATTGGAGGAAATTCAAGAAAACCTTAGATAAGCACCTGGCAGATATGCTTTGATTGTATTCCTGCACTGAGCAGGGGGTTGGACTTGATGGCCTTGAAGGCCCCTTGCATCTTCACTTTTCTATGATTCTATGAAATGCCTAGCAGTGCTGGCTATTACTCTACCCATCCAAATTGATGGCTGACTTTTTTTGCAGAAGCTAGACAAGGCTTTCCAGCTATTAAACAGTATTAACTTCTTATTGTCTGTTCTCTTGCTAGAGATGATACAAAACCAGTGTTCTAGATAACCAACACAGCAAAATTGTAATATATTCCATTAAAATATGCATTATTTCAAAATTGTATCGAAGCACATTCAGTCTAAGTACTACCAGCTATTTTAAAAGATAGATATTGTTACTGAACATACGCTTTTTCAGTATGCATATTTATTGTTACTCACTGAGTTCAGTAGAGGTGATTCCCATGTACGGTATATTTAGGACAGCTGCCGTGCAACTCCATCTTCTGTTTGTTTACTCAGCACAGCAATCCACTGAGCTGGATGAGGTTTATTCCCAAGTATGTAAGCATAGAGACGTATGCCCCATTAAATCTTGCACAATTACATTTTTAATAGAAGCTCTTTTGTTTAGAAAAATCCCACTGAGTTAAGAACAAAGAATGATGTGATTTTAGCTAATAAATTCTTTTTTAAAAAAAAGCACATGCAGTTTGAAGATGAAATGTGAGGTGAAAAGAATTTGTAGTGGCTCCCCTATGACATACTTGAGAACGCTTTGAATGAAAATGAATGCTTGAGCCAGATAACACTGGAGCAGTTATTGAAGAAAACTCTCCTATTAGGAAAGTGATTTGGTTTTGTCATAGGATGATTGGAGCGAGAGAGGAGTAAATAATTATTTATTTTTTATTTGCTTGTTTTATTCATAGGTCACCTTTCTCCCAGTAATGGGAGAATTAAAAACATAATGAGTTAAACATTAAAAAAACCTACAGCATATGCTAAATAAAATACAATTGAATAATGAAAAAGCAAGTAAGCATTAAAAACCGATCTTAACTTTAAAAAGGCTTTTGGGGATTCAATCGTGATTGTTAAAAGCCTGCTAGAAGAGGTAAGTCTTTGGCTGTCAGTGGAAGAATAAGCAGGAGGGGGCGAACCTGACCTCCTGAGGGGAAAGAATTCCCTAAACTGGGAGCAGCCACAGAGAAGGCCCTCTCCCAGGTCCCCAAAGGTGCCTACACTGGGAATGGCACCAATTCCTTACTTCTGTCGAAATTACCTGTGGGGTGCAATCCTTATCTATGTGTACTAAGCTCTGTGAGACTTACTTTCCAATAAGAGGGCACTGAACTTCAGCCATGCAATCTAGCTTTACCTATGATTCCTCAAAAACTAATAATAATATTAATAGTGTGCTGTCAAGTCTGATTTATGGCAACTTTTTTTAGGGTTTTCTGTGTAGAGAATACATAGAAGTGATTTACTATTCCCTTCTGGGGGCAGCCTAGGACTGTGCAGCTTATCCATGGCCACACAGGCTGGTTTTATTCATAGGAGCCACAGTGAGGAATCAAACTCCCAGCCACTGCAGCCAGAAACCTAAACCACTGAGCTATTCAGCCGGCTCCAAATACTAAACTGCTCCCTATTCTGTGTTTAGTAGGATATGTAGTCCTTCAATGTGTAGTTCAGAATGAGCTGTACCAGGTACAGTAGTTGATCTATGCATGCACAAAGACCTGTACTCGATTAAACTCAAGGATTTAGGCAAAGGTAAGAACAGGATGTATGGAGAATTGGCATTAAAAGGCCCTTTAGTTTATTTATTTTATTACATTTGTATCTCACCCATCTAGTGGCAAGCCCCTACCCTGGGTGGCTAAAACAGAATAACACTTGATTGCCATTGCATGTGCAACAAAATCACCAGAGTGCTATCCAGACAGTGCATCACTCATTCAGCTAAAACTCCATGAAAACGCCTTACAAATTCCAACAACGGCAACAAAATGCATTCATATGCAACACAAAACACACAATAATAGAAACCAACACCAACAAAAAAAAAACCAGTGGCACAGGCAAACAACATTCAGATTCAACTCATAGATCATAGGTGGCTCCAACTTTATGGAACCAGCTTCCTGAGGAGTTCCATCTAACCCCGTCCCTGTTGACAATTATATGTTGCTCTTCAGGGAGGCTATCCATATTGACCCTAGAAGAACACCTTCTCCCTGCCCCCCCCCCACTTTCCTCTGTCTGCTCTGGGTTTATATGATTAGTCGGTGCCATCAGTTTTTAGGGTTATTGTTGCTTTTAATGCTTTTATATTTATTTTTGTTTCCTATTATATGTGTTGTAACCACCCAGATGGGAGCAGGTTACAAATTGAATGAAGAAAATAAATAATATTCTTAAAAGCCACCTTAAGAAGCTCAGATTGTGTCTTGTGCAGCACTGCAAGACTGGTGTTCAAATATGGAGTAAGGCGAGAAAAATCTGGCCAGATGAGGCCGTGGTCCACCTAATTCAGCATCTGACTTCACACCAGGACTAGCCACCTCCTGTTAGGAAGCCCACTACCCTTAAAAGACCAAACAAAACATTGACAATAGGTACAGTGGTGCCTCGCTAGACGATGATAATCCGTTCCACTGAAATCGCTGTTTAGCGAAATCATTGTCTAGCGAAAAGCATTTCCCCATTGGAATGCATTGAAACCTGTCCTTGTCTAGCGAAGATCCGCCATAGGTATGCTTATGTATGACTGGTACCCTAAATGTATTATGTCACTATTGACGTCATTGCTCCAATTGCCGAGGCTCCAAAGGTCAGCCTCCGCCTATCATTTTTTTCTACCCTTTCATTACTCTGCCAAGTTTTCCTTTGGATGTAGAAGAACACTTAGAAAAGGTGCTCAACAGTAATACGAACGGTGTATATTTTAATATTTGGTAAGCCTTCTGGATTTCTCATGGGAACGCAGAAAGCAAGCAGGAAAGCCCCGCGGGCGGCAGCGATCCGAGCTAATCCAGTCTGAGGAGGCGGAAGGCACCGCCGGCTAAAATCCAAAGCTTTTACAATAACACGGGGAAGCGGAGAGAGAGAGATACTTTCACCAAGTCCGCTCCGCCGCCCGCCGTCCTCTACCTGCCACCTACCGCGCCAGCGCTTCCGCGCGCATGCGCGCTCGCCTCGGGATGGCCGGCGCTCCCACGTGACCAGGACAAGGACGGAGCCCGGCAGAGGCGTGAGGGGAGGGGGGGCAACGACAGAGGCGGCGGCGGCGGAGAGGAGGGACGGGTGCCGGCTCTGCCGCCGCGCTGCGTCTATCCCGGTCGCGGCCGGCGGCGCACAGAAGGAGAAAGGCGGCGCCGGGGGGGGCAGCTGGGGAGGCGGATCCATCATGGCGTCTATGCAGGTGAGAGCAGCCTGCGACGGGGCTGGGCTGGGCTGGCTTGTCCTTTCGCCCCCACCCCCCAGGTGGTTCTCTCTTGAGACGGCGGCCGGGCGCGCGGGGTCGGGGAACGGTTGGAGCGGCCGCTCTTCCTCCCGCGCGCTCGGTGCGCTGCTCTCCGAAGCGGCTCGGAGGCGGAGGCTGCGCCGGCGAGCCGAGAGGAGCGCTGTGGAAGAGGGACGTCGCCAGGGAGGGCTGGGAAAGGCTGCGGACCCTGTATGTGAGGGGGGGGAGAGGGAGACTTTCTTTTTTTTCCTCCCACCCACCCCGTCCCTCCCTTCTGCCACCTCCGCGGCCAGGCCGGTTCCCTTCTTCCTTGTGTCCTCCCCTTGACGGACGGAGGGAAAGACAGAAAGAAAGAGGGGGCGGAAGGGTCTCCCTGGGCGGGGAGGGGCTTCGCCAGGTTGAGCTGGGGCCGCGGCGAGCAGGTGCAGGTGCCCCCCCCCCGGCCGTTGTTTCCTGGGAGTGCCGCTCGGCCCGGCCTAGGTTGGGTGGCGGTGGGTGTGGGAAGAGACGCCCGAATTGGGCCTGCTTGCTGTGACAGGTCTCTCTTCCCAGGGGCTCTTTCTCTGTAGGAGCTCTTAATCATCTGGGTGGTTTTTGGTGGGAGTTTCTTTCCTAATTGTGTCGGGGAAGTGAGGGGGCAGAGAGATGTTTGAGTGTGCCTGAGAGGAAAAAGCCACCAGATTTAAGAACGAAGGGGGAGGCCACTCGAAGGCAGGAAGTGTGGAAAACCCTTTTTTCGGTGGCCTTTTCTTCCTGTTGTCTCACACGTTAGGCCCTGTATCTTTTCTTTTTGGTAGGATTTGCTGAGGTGGTGCAGACCGTGTAAGTCCATCCTTTCTTTCTCTGGACCTATGTTTTTTATTTGTCGTGACTGGTCTTGTGGTCTAGACCAGATGTGGGCAGATTTCGGATTTATGATATCTATTTGTGTGCATCTGTGCCATTTTTATATAAGGATAAAGTTGTAGGGAAGTTCCAGATTGTGGCAGATTAGATAGAGTTAGATGCCATTTGAGAGCCCCAGTAGTTGAGAAATTTGTGTACTGTAATATATGCTCTGTGTCACAAGGCTGGGATGACCTGTATTTACATGTGAGGTATGGCAAGACTAGACATTCCCTAGCAGCTTGATTTAACTCTACATGTGAGTTGCTGCTGTCTAGGAAGGGGGGGGGGATTCACTGACAGTCTATGTCCTTTTGTAATGGTGACTGGCACCATTATTTTTCCTACTGATAGTCAAACTTGCAGGAATTAACTAGTGACCTTCTGCAAATTATGCAGTGTTGTACAAGCAGATTCTGACTTATGTTCTGCCCCACTTTGAGAATCAGATTGAGAATCATTATTGAATTGTGAAGATTCCCGTTCTTACCTTTGCTTAGGTGAGATTTCATCAGACATACTCCCAGTTTTCCTTTTCTGATAATGCTCTCTCACATAGGATTATTGCATTGTGAAATAACATGTATAAAGGACTTCAGGAAAGATTTTTGGTGAATAATGATGATGTTGAGGAAATTGTGATATATATATATAGAAATATTAAATGTAATGTAATGTAGCTTGTGTGCAAAAACAAATCAGATACTGGGAAAAATAGTCCAGACCAAAGACCTGATTAAATTTTCTGCAAGCTGTCTTTGGATAATATAAACCCATCATATAGAGGTTTCTAACTATAATAAATATACATTTTTCTTTTATTTTGAGTGTGACTGAATAAAATATTAAGAACTTATTATATGTAGCCATTTTTAGTAGACTGTTGAATAGAAGAAACCTGAAAATCTCTGCTTTCAGTCTCCAGTCTGGTTTTATTTAATGCACCGACTTATCAGGAAGTCGTATGGCAAAAGTGTACTGAAGCAATGGGAAAGTATTGCTTTTAAAATACATGAGCTGTAAAAGTTGGCTAATTCAGCATGGAAAGCACATAGAAGTAAACATATGTTTTCCTGCTCTAAGCTTCTTTCACCTTTCATGTAGTTTCACAGTGCAAAATAAAGATGAAATTCTGTGCAACATACATTGAAGTAAATCTCACTGAATTCATAGGTATTATTTTTAGGTGAAAATGAAGAGTAGGAATTGGCTGGTCTGGACCTCTAGATTATCCCTCCCCTCTCTGCCCTGTCAGCATCTCCCATGAACCCCAGCCGGTATAGCCAATAAGGAGCTATTGGAATAGCATCCCAAAACATCTGAAGGGCTGTAGTTGTCCATTCTTTATGTACAAGATTGTGTTTTCAGTTAATCTCTAAAGTTCTAAATTCTGTGACTGCAGAAGGACTATCGAAATAAGCTTTTAATCAGGGTAACCAGTTGCGTTGCAGTTGTTCTAGCTTTCCTGTCTGTTCCTTAATAATATTTTTGGCTTTGGAGAAATAGCTTGTGACTTTTGTTTTTTGTTCTAGATGCTGTGCTGTCAAGGGTAATTATTAAACTTTCAGTTAGTATACTAGAGATGCCTTAGTCTCCTAGGAGTGTTGGATCAGTGAGTCAAGGGAACAAATTAAGCATTGCTTATTTCCACCTCAGGTATTACTATATCATTATAGAACATTCTTGACTACAGTGGTACCTCGCTAGACGATGACCCCGCTAAACGACGAATCTGCATAACGATGACTTTTTGCGATCGCTATAGTGATTTGCAAAACAGTCATTCCAATGGGCGATTTTTGCTTGACAATGATTTGGTCCATACTTCATTGACCGTTTGTTCGCAGGACAATTTGTACAGCTGAGTGGTGTTTCGCAAAATGGCTGCCCTATGGGCGATCTTCACAAAACAACGAGGTATTTTCCCCATTGGAAAACATTAAATGGGTTTCAATGCATTCCAGTGGGGAAATGGTTTTTGCATGACGATGATTTCGCTAAGCGATTTCTATGGAACGGATTATCATTGTCATGCGGGGCACCACTGTACTTTGAAATGCAGATTTTATTCTAATGGAATATTTTGTAGAATGAATATTTGTAGCTTGGATATTTAAAGCAATATATTTTGCATATAAGTAGTAAAAGGTACATATTTTCTCTATTCTATAGCACTGTTGACAGTTTGCCTAGGAGAGACTGAAACTTAAAAAATCATATACTATGTACATAAATCACTTTAAGTAAATAATTGGTTTAAGCCATGAAGATTTAAAATAGTTTAAATAATACTTTTAGCATGCATACCATAACCTATCCTACTTCTTCTAGCAGTGGAAAATAGATTCTAAAGAGGAGGTGGGCTAATTTGGGGTTGTGGATACATTTGAATATTTGTACAAATGCGTACTTGACTTTGAAACTTGCTAGATGGCCTGAGCAAATAATTATTCCTTTTCTAAGCTCTGTTTGAACACAGCATCAGATGTATGAAAGTATCTCAAACACATATGAAGGAAAAAAGTTTAAAATATTGGTGACACATCTTTCTTCATGAAATGTTGTAGATGTAATAATGGCTGAAATCCAGCAGTAAATTACAACTAAAGTAGGCCCATTAAATCAGTGGAACCTATGGATGAATTAACTAATCAAATCCCCACTGATTCAGTGGGCCTACTCTAGTTGCAGTTTACTACTGGATCTCATTTTGTATGATTTGCTAGCAATCTGCACAACCTTTTTTTTGTAAAATTCTTTTGTAATTTAGAATTGGGATATTGTCAAAATCAAATATATTTTTTAAGAAAACACACTAATAATTATATTTCTATAATTTTCTGAATTCTAGTTAATTTTAGCTCTGGTCCTCATGCTATGGGAAACAGAGTTTCCTGGTATGGAAACAAGATTTTTGTGTCTTTTAAAGACCTTTTCGTTGAGGCTGCCAACCAACCTCTCTAAAATTAACGTTGCCTCAGGTCATCTGATTCCTGTGTCTTACATGGGCTTTCCTCCTGAAACACGTTAAGTGCTTTAATAAGAACATAACGATATAAACCATATAAGTAATACAATTAACACTTAAAGAAGAGCAGCAAGATAGTGACAGCAAAAGTAAAAACAAATTAGCAACAGTAATGCTAAGTGTTACATGTTAGATGTCTTAGATGTACTTTTAATTTCTCTCAACTGTATACAGAAAGAGAGTCTGATGAATTTCATTTGATCACAGAAAATATTCTGCTTCTGTACTCACTTGCCAAATTTCAGATGGCAGCCTACAATAAGTTTTCCAACACTAATCTTAATTTCCAGAGAGGGCTATACTGTCAATCCCTGAGGCAACCTGGTCCTGTGTCATTTAGAAGTTGAATTTGGTGTTTTGAAATTAGTGCGGAAGCAAACAGAAAGTTGGCACTAAATAAAAGTAACATGCCCTGACCTTCAAGTTTCAGTCAGAAGTAGTTCCCAGAGTTTGGATCAGCTGGAGCTTCTGGGTGGTGGTTACAGTAATCCAATTGGAAGGTAACTGGAACATAGATTAATGAACTGAAGTCCTTATTTTTTTCCGGGTACAGGGGCAGATAATGAATGGTACTCTTAGCATAACACACTGCATTTTTACAGTGTGATTTGCTAGGAAGCAATCCCAAGCTATTTACTTGCTTTCTCAAAGAAAGTACAAAACATTCAGAACAGACCGAGACATTTTAACTAGATTACACTTATTATGAACCACTGACTTGTGTAGATTAATTTTCAGCTTGTTGACTCTGAACACTGATTTATGACTTCTGTTGCTGCTCTGGAGTTGGGTGAAAGCTAATGTTGTGATTTGTCTGTATACCAATGATACCCTGGCACAAACCGCTACATGACCTCACAATGGTTTAATTGCTCTTGGCCCATGAATTGAGAGAAAAGTGGGATATAAGTGAGATTAATATATAATAAGAAGAGTTGGAGTCAAAGTGGAACCTTGTGGTTCCCCAGAGGCCATGTTGTAAAAGAATCACAAAGTACCATCATCTGGGTCTGACTTTTCAGGAAGGACCGGAATCACTATAGAGAAAGTATCACCTTCTGATCCGATTTAGATGGTCTAGAGCAGTGGTTCTTAACCTTTGTTACTCGGATGTTTTTGAACTGCAACTCCCAGAAACCCCAGCCAGCACAGTTGGTGGTGAAGGCTTCTGGGAGTTGCAGTCCAAAACTCCTGAGTAACCCAAGGTTAAGAACCAGTGGTCTAGAGCAGTGGTTCCTAACATTGGGTGCACAGATGTTCTCAGATGACAGCTCCCAAAAATCTTAGCCAGCATAACTAATGGTGAATGATTTTGGGGGTTTTAATCCAAGAACATATGGAGACCGAAGGTTGGGAACCACTGGTTGTAGAACATACCTTGTTCTATGACAGCCATTCTAACCCGGGGGAGGGGGCTGTCACATTTAAAGAAGGCCACAGACTGGAAACAATTCTTTACACACCACTTTATAAGGTTCATTATGTGACTTATGCAATTCTGATTCAGTTTACAGTGGACCCTCGACTTAAGGAATTAATCCGTATTGGAATGGTGGCCACAGGATGAAAAGTCCGTAGGTCGAGGGTCCATTTCCCATAGGAATGCATTGAAAACCATTTAATCTGCTCCAGTTTTTAATCTGTGTCGGTTTTCTGCTTCCTGGACTTCAAAACCTCCTCCGCTGCCCTCTGTCTCCCGTTCATGGTTCTCTTTGCAGGTGCAGCTTTGGAAGCCCGGGAAGCCGAAAGCCGCTCCACGCCCGCTGTCGGCTTTCAACTTCCCAGGCTTCCAAACCCCCTCCGCTGCCCTTTGTCTCCTGTCCCCTTTGCCCTTTGCCTCCTGTCCCCACAGGAGACAGAGGGCACCGTGGACGGGAGACAGAGGGCAGCGGAGGGGGTTTTGAAGCCCAGGAAGCTGAAAGCGGACAGTGGGCGCAGAGCAGCTAGATGGCAGCGGAGGGGGTTTTGAAGCCTGGGAAGCCGAAAAGCGCTCCGCACCCGCTGCTGGCTTTTGGCTTCCCAGCCTTCAAAACCCCCTCCCCTGTCCTCTGTTTTCCGTCCACGGTGCCCTCTGCCTCCTGTGGGGACAGGCAACGGGGACGGGAGACAGAGGGCAGCAGGGGCAGGAGGCAGAGGGCAGCGGGGACGGCTTTGAATTTCCCGCTCTTTCCCCCTGCCTTTCGTAGGTTGAAGCTCTGGCTGCAAGTCGAACCAAAATTTTGTGGCCAGAGCTTTTCGTACCTCGAAATTTTCGTAAGTAGGGACTTTCGTAAGTTGAGGGTCCACTGTATATTTCTTTCATATTAAGTTTATGTCTTAAAGCTTAAGAATGGCTGGTCTATGGTATCAAAAACCTCTAAGGGATTCTAAGAGAATTAGTATGGTAGTGCCCTGCCTGCTCATCTCTGTACACCAGCCATTCATTTGAAGTGACCAAGTCAGTTTTTTTCAAGGCTAAGATCACACTGCAAGTGATCTGAATAAATTTACTTAAGAAAATCATGTCACTGAGGTATATCTTAGGGAGCACCAAAACACCATCCATTTTGAAGAATCAGAATGATTACAAGTGATTTTATCTGCAAAACATTTCCTACATTTCATGTAGGAAAATTTCTAGAAGACATCACGAATCCCTTTGCATCTATAAAGCGTGTTCCTGAGAATCTGACCCATCTGGTGCTCATGGCTATGTCTCACTCCCTGTCCCACAGTCATTCCTGATTTTTCCATCAGTGGTGTAGCCTTGACATTCCCTTTCTTTTTTCTCCAGCTTATCAAACACACATAATTTGAACATAAGTTATTACCATTGAGGAGTAATGAAAGCTTGGAAAAGAGTTTAAATTTCTGTAAGTTTTGGTTACTATATTTACTGAGCCTCAATGAGTCTTCCAAGATTCATCTGAAAAGAGTAATGTCCTTATATTGCTGTCTCCAAAAACAGTCCTTTTGGTGCAATCTTCTTCTTAGCCAACCTTGCTTAGGTTGCACCAGCAGCCTGCAGTTCAGGTAGGTCTGTCTTTCAGTGACTTAGCCAAAGGCCAAATTACAAGGCAACTGCAACAGGTTAGTGGCATTTCTTGGCATTTCAGGTTTTCCAAGATCAAGTTGTGTAGTGCAGAGATCATCAGCCCCTGGTCCGTGGCCCAGTGCCAGTCTGTGGCCTGAGCCAGATTGGGCCACAGAGACACACCTCCCGCTCCCCACACGGACTCTCCTCCCCACAGCTGCTTTGTGCACGCATGAACCAGCACTGGTGTGAGTGCTCCCCCACCGCCTTGCTCATGCGCCTGTGAGAGAGAGCGCCCGGATGAGTGCGGGGGGATGTCCTGCCTTCCTCAGAGGCTCAGCCAGTCCGTGGTCCCAGAAAGATTGGGGACTGCTGGTTTAGTGGACCTGCTCCTGGAAAAAAAAAACAGCATAGTAACCATGGAAAGCTTGAGGGTGTTAATGATGTTTAAGAAGTCCTCTTTCTTCTTGTCTCATTCAGGGCAGCTCTGTAGCTAAGGTTTTGCAAGTTTTGATAGGGTTTTCCTTTGATTACCAACCATTTGGTCAACCATAAAGATTATGGCACTTTAGGAATTTATGTTGGAATATACCATTTTCCCCTTCCTATCTGTAAAACTGCACCTCCCTCAATTTTGAGGTAACAGTAATAGGATATTGTTACAGTTTGGTTTAATTCTTGAAACTAGTGGCTCAACCTGTATGGTTCCACATTGATAGGGAATTACAGGTTTTAATTTGTTATCTTTTTCTTAGTGGTCAAATTTTTTATGTGGTGGGCTTTGGGCAATTTTTGAGGAAAAGCTGTTAACAGAGGTAAACTTTTTCCTTATGTTCTAAAATACTTTCAGTTCAGGCATAGTTAATAATATATTGGTGTTTTGATATTAAACATTTTTATGGTACCAGCTTTTTAATCTTGTTGTAGGCTGACTTGATTTTTAATTCTGGGAGAAAGGTAAGATATAACAAAACAAATAATTTAGAGATAATATTAGGATTACAGTTCAAAGAAGCCCTTTAAGTGCTTCAACTGCCAGGAGTCTTGTGCCACCTTAAAAACTACTACACTTGTACAAGATCATGCATACTGGTTTACATACCTATAGAAGCACTTACTATGTTGCATCTCAAGGTCCTTTTGAGTCTTTCTTCTTTTTGCTGCTTCATAATTAAGAGCACATGTCTACAATTTTTTTTTTCTAAATGCAGTCTTCAGCCACTAATTGTGATGACTAGGACTGGAATCCCAAACACACTTTACCAGGAAGTAACTCCCACTGAATTTAGTGGAGCTTATGACATGAACAGGATTGTATTGTAATTTACCAACCATTGTTGTGAACTTTGTTCTTTTTATTTTGACGTCACTAATCAGAACTCTTTATTTCTATCTGAACATAGAAATGTGGGTTAGTGCCTCAGATTTCATTGCTTCCACCACCACCCCCATCTCCTGTTATGAGAAGGATCAAGGGCACTGCCTTAGACTTCCTGTGCTTTTAAGTGAAGTTGATGCACTAATATTTATGAAAATATGTTATGAAACAGATACTCTAGCTTGGTGTTTTTTATTAAATTACTTCTATTGCATTTGTGATGGTAGTCTGTGAGGCAGATACGTATACTGTGTTTCTGTCATTTGCCATTTTTCTTATGTGTACATATTAATTCTTTTATCTGATAAACACAGATACAGAATAAGTGAAAAAGCATGCTTATTCTGGCTTTTTTTCCCAGCCGTGTTTTTAGAGAATGAGAGAGATCATTTTACCCAGTTGCCTTCTACACTTTCCAGTCAGTTTTTAGCTATTTATTTTTGGATTGTCAGTAGTAAATACTTGTTTTCACCAGTGAGGGTTCATTCAGTATATGCAATTTATGAAATTGTTACTTTAAATTACTTCTTAGTGACTTTGTTAAATATCATTAGCACAATTGTAGTCCAAAAGTGGTATGCAAATCAAGCCTAGCAATTAATCTTTATGTGTAGATTCTATACACGAACATTGTTGTTCAAATGTAAATAATATTAGAGGGCAATAAAGTAATTAAAGCAAACATATTTGAGAGTGCTCAATGAATATGGCTTTATGTGGTCTCTGAACTCTTGGCAGAAGCCATTAACATTTAAAAAATCCTCTCTAGTGTTCATTCTAGAAAAATTATATCCTTATATTGCACATTGTTGAGAGTGATATTTAAGTACACAAAAATGTTTGGCCATCATTACCAGCTCCCTGGGCCATAAGAGAGAGATTGCCTCTGTTTCTATTGCGACATCCCATATAGCATAGATGACTTCTATTTGGGAAACATAAGCACTGGGTCCCAATTAGTGCTCTGGTTCTGTGGATTATGTCATTTAATGCATAATCTACTTCCATATTTTGGAGGATTGGCTCATCACTTTGAATATTACTGCTAAAATTTAACATCTATGTTTCTTAATACCAAGCAAAATGAATGTCTTGTACTTCTTAGTATGCTGGGAGTTGTTTCTAGAAACTTTAATACCATGCAAGATGCAAAATTAAATAACTGTGACTTAGAAATCATGAAGCTTGTTATTTGCTCTCTTAAAATGAATGGATATATTTATTATGTGTGTTTTAAGGTTTCAACAACATTGTTTGCAACATTGTTTGTTGCTTTGCACTGATATGTCCTGAACAATAATGTTGAGGAATATCTATGCTTTCCTTAATGTTTTTAAACATCATTTTGTTTTTATTAGAAAAGACTACAGAAAGAATTATTGGCTTTACAAAACGACCCACCACCAGGAATGACCTTGAATGAGAAAAGTGTACAGAATTCAATTACACAGTGAGTATCTACACTTTCCAGCTTGTTTTACAGTGAAACTAAGAATAGTCAATCATTTTTTTCTAGCAGTATATTACTTACAATTGTAAAATATACAAGTCCTAGCCTATACATACACATTACTTGGTTTTGATGGCAATTGTTGTTATGGGCCACTAAGTTAAAACTGAGTTACAGCAACCCTAATAGGATTTTCAAGGTAGATGAGGTATTTAAAGAGTAGTTTTACCAATTCCACTCCTCCAGTGAGTTTCCATGGCTGAGCAGGGATTCGAACCCTGATCTCCAGAGTCCTAGTCCATTACTCTATCCACTACACTAGGGATCCCCAACCTTGGGCCTCCAGGTGTTCTTGGATTACACCACCCAGTAGCTTTCACCACCACCTCTGCTGGCCAGGATTTCTGGGAGTTGAAGTCCAAGAACATCTGGAGGCCCAAAGTTGGGGACCACTGCATTACACCACACTGATGGTACAGTATACATGTCTGTGCAGTATGCTTTGATGGCATAGTATGCATATGTGAATAGTATGGATTTGCATGTTTGGCAGTTGGTCTTATTTAGTCATTCCCATTTGAATTGTGGTGCTGGAGGAGACCCTTGAGAATGCCCTGGACTGCAAAGAGAACAAACCTATCCATTTTGAAGGAAATCAAGCCTGAGTGCTCACTGGAAGGACAGATCCTGAAGCTAAGGCTCAAATACTTTGGTCATCTCATGGTAAACTCCCTGGAAAGGCCCCTGATGTTGGGAAAGTGTGAAGGCGAGAAGGGGACGACGGAGAATGAGATGGTTGGACGGTGTCATCGAAGCTACCAGCTTGAATTCGACCAAACTCCGGGAAGCAGTGGAAGACAGGAGGGCCTGGTCTGCTCCGGTCCAGAGGTGACAGGAGGGCCTGGTCTGCTCTGGTCCAGAGGTCATAAAGTGTTGGACACGACTTAATGACTAAACAACAACAAAGTCATTCCCTAGAATCCTAAATGGCTCTGTAATTTTACACAAAATTCTGAAAAGTTATGGGCATTATGATTTTTATTTAGCTTTGAGTTTGGGGCCATTTGGTCTGAATGGTGTCACATAACTCTAGTTGGAATATATGCTTTCTTATTCGTGGTCTCTGTGAATGCACACTAATGGGTTAAGTCTGCGCCTGTGCAGAGGCCTACAACTATTTTAGAGCTAAAGGTTTGCTAGGACCGCCCTCCCATAGCCCACGTGGTCCGCCCATCCTAGCGATTACCTCAGTTCCTTTTTTTCCGCTGCTGAGGTCTCGCCTCTAGAGCTTCGCTTGGAAGATTTGGTTCATTCTGAAAGAAAATAAGAAGATCACTATTGTTAAATCGTTCATATTTATCTTTGATTCTCTACTTGATTTTTCCCCTTAAAAATCATTATTCGTTAATCATTTGGACTCTTCTCCGTTTAACCCCCCCTTTAAGTCTTTCCCGCTTCCCACCTTTTATGGCCCCCGTGGGCCCTTTCAAAAAGTGTGTCTCCTGCACTAATAAACTTCCACTGTCAGACGGCCATAACGCTTGCTTATTCTGTTTGGGAGAATCACATCAGCCTTCCAGCTGCTCCAATTGCAATAATTTTACCAAGCAAGCTATCAAACTTAGACAACAAAAACTTAGGTCTTATCTGTGGGACCAGTCCCTTTGTCCACCAGTCGCAACAGACAGTTCTCAGACTCCTCAGTTGCCTGCTTCTTTAGTCGCTTTTTCACCAGTACAATCTCAAAAAACCAAGACTTTGAAATCTAAGTTGTCGGGATCTACAGCACAATCCACTCCAACATCCAAACCTAAGTTGAAATCCACCACAAAGCCAAAAGAAGCCACTACCAGAAGAACAAGACTGGGTACAGCCGTCTTCGGTACAGATCCATCCCACCATTGAATTGGATACTGACAAGGAATCTATCCCTCCTGTTTCAGGACAACTACCATCTCCTCTGCTTACAAGGTCTCCCTTGTGGGCAGATACCTTGTCTGAGGTAATTGTAGCAGAATATTCAGCTTCTTTGAGCCCCAAATGCTTGGTTGACTCGGTATCAGAGTGTTGCTCTGGATCACCTTCAGTTCCTGATCCAGTTACAGTCAAGAAAAAGAAATCAAATACCACCACACTGGCCGATCTGATATCTCCACTTGCCAGCCTCCGCATTGTTTGGGGCTGTGTCCAGTCGTGTCCGACATGCAAAATCCATACTATTCACCCCATCTGTCTGTTCCTTCCAATACCACTCCTCTTGCAAACCATTGTCAAGCCAAAACAGGATCACACCAACGCAATCCTAATTGCCCCGTACTAGCCGAGGCAACCGTGGTTCACAATGTTGACCTCCATGACATGCCAATCAATTCGGCAACCTTGCCTCCATCACCTCCTCACAGAACACCAAGGACTGACCTTCCATCCCTACCTCCAGTCCCTACATTTGATGGCTTGGAGAATCTTACCTCGCTAAGCAATATTCGTTCCCATTTCAGGAAACCTACAAATCATCTCTATTCTTACAAATGGTTGGCCTTTCAAAAGTTTGCAAGGACGCAGAATCTTCCAGCTGCACCAACTACTTTGAGAGCTGTATTACTCTTTCTGTCTTACTTATTTGACCATCACTTATCCTTATCTAAGGGACGTGGTAGTGCTGCAGGTTAAACCGCAGAAGCCTCTGTGCTGCAAGGTCAGAAGACCTGCAGTTGTAAGATCAAATCCACATGACGGAGTGAGCTCCCGTCACTTGTCCCAGCTCCTGCCAACCTAGCAGTTCAAAAGCAAATGCAAGTAGATAAATAGGTACCACCATGGTGGGCAGGTAACCACGTTTCGTGTCTAGTCATGCTAGCCACATGACCATGGAAACTGTTGTCTATGGACAAAATCTGGCTCTACGGCTTGGAAACGGGGATTAGCACCACCCCCTAGAGTCGGACACGACTGGACTAAATGTCAAGGGGAACTTTGACCTTGACCTTTTTCCTTATCTATGTTTAAGTCAGCTATCGTTGTGCACCAACCCCAAGATTTGGATGCTGCTTTATTGTTTCGACATCCTACTTTGAAGAGATTCCTTTGAGGAGTAGCCCACCCGAACCCTCCAAGACCCTTCCCTATGACTCAGTGGTCACTAACATACCATCCTGCGGCATTTATCTGTTCCTCCTTTCGAACCCCTCACCTATGCGACAGATCGTCTGCTATCCTTTAAGGTCCTGTTTCTAGTGGCTATCACCTCTGCCTGTAGAGCATCAGAATTGGCAGCGCTCCGTGTTGATCCTCCCTTTTTACAGTTTCACCCTATATCCAGATATTTCCTTACCTCCCAAAGTAGCTACTGATTTTCACGTCTGTCAGCCAATCATTCTGCCCACTTTTTTTCCTAAACCATACTCTCATGTTGAGAGATCACTCCACCTCTTGGACATGCGGCGTGCTCTTGCTTTCTACATCAAAAGGACTGCTTCCTTTAGAAAGCCCAAGCACTTGTTTATCTCTCCTCACCCTCCTCATAGAGGAGAGGAAATTTCTCCACAAACCATTTCAAGGTGGCTTGTGCAAACAATTCATCTGACTTACCAACTTGCTAACAAGCTTCTTCCGTACATTGTCAAGGCACATTCCACCAGAGTGTTAGCAACGTCTACTGCCTTTCTTAGAGGTGTTCCAGTCCACGATATCTGCAGGGCTGCCACCTGCTCGACTCCATCTACCTTTGCATCTCATTATCGTTTGGACATGCGTGCCAAGGCGGATGCGAGTTTTGGATGCACGGTTCTGTCTTCTGTTTTGCCATGATGTTCCTCCACCTATAAGGTAAACCTGTTAGTCACATTAGTGTGCATTCACAGAGACCACGAAGAAGAAAGAGAGGTTACTTATCTGTAACTCTGCTTCTTTGAATGGTCATCTGTGGATTCACACTTCCCACCCGTCCTCCCCTCTGTCCATCACGTCTGTCTCTCTCTTTGAATGGCATTGGGGAACTGAGGCAATCGCTAGGATGGGCAGACCATGTGGGCTATGGGGGGGGCGGTACTAGCGAACTTTTAGCTCTAGAATATTCCGAGGCCTCTACGCAGGCACAGACTTAACCCATTAGTGTGAATTCACAGATGACAACTCGACGAACCAGAGTTACAGGTAAGTAATCTCTCTATTTTAATTTGTTTTGGGGGTTTTTTGGTTCTTTTCTCTTTTTTTGAGATAATATAATAGTTGGACAAATAAAGAAAATCCATAAAAATGCTGCACTGCACTATATAGATGTTGCCTATTTGTGTCTGTTATTTAATGAACTTGAAGAGTAATGTGGAGAAAATGGGGATTGGGTGAGTCAACACCTCCATTGATTCAAATGGGCTTACTCTAATCACAATTTCATATGCTAGGACCATTTGAGTGAATGGAACTTACGGAGGAGTTGATTCACCAACACAGATTCAATGGGCCTATTCTAGTACAACCTACTATACTAAACAACAGGATTTCAGCCACTTTTGAGTAGTTGGCCACTCTAGACTCTGCAGCATACAGGCTGGTGGTTAGAACGGCCAGATTTGGGAATGTGTAATAAAATATTTCTCACTTAGAGACTTCATTTAAAAGGGCACCTGTCTCTTTTTTGTAGAAAATAATAGAGATTTGCTCTTGTATTTTTGTGAGTATAATGGAAAATGTTTCAGCATTTTCTCCCAGTGTTCATGTTTTGGGAGGTGGGAGCATAAAATATTATTTTATAACCTTTGGCTTCTCTCAACAAACCTGGATGCCCAATCCTGGTTATTTGTTAAGGTAGTCATAACTTTTATTAAAATAGAGTAGAATGATTAATTCTAAAATTGTTGAGTAATTAATTATATTGTCTTCATTGATACTATTAAAGCAAGACTACAATAATTCTTTTTTTATTTCTGAAGGTGGATTGTAGATATGGAAGGTGCTCCTGGAACATTATATGAAGGGGAGAAATTTCAACTGCTGTTTAAATTCAGTAGTCGCTATCCGTTTGACTCTCCTCAGGTAACATACAGTGTCGTATGCTTCATTTAAATTTTAAACTCGTTATAAGGTAATATTAGATATAAATTCATGATAAGTCACTGACCTTGTTTTTATTAAAGCACAACAATAGTTTAATCATAAATCTGATGCTTGATGTGGCTCCAAAATATTCACAGTAACTGACAGTTCATAACTTGTCACAGCTAACTAAGTCTAATTGATGAGCTGCTGGGAAATGTCTCTGTCCTGTGCCTAATTGCACAGCCATAATTTGCCTCAGCACCTGTACAGTTAGCTGCAATTACCCACAACAAGTTATGAAATCTTACTTGAACTCCAAGCTGATTATTTTCTGCTGTTTCTTGCAGGTAAGTATATGTCTCTTTGTTCAGAGGAGTTTTGGCCATGTATCTATGACTCAAAAATAGCTCACTGTCCTACTGCAAGCTAGATTGAAGACATAAGTTAACACCATTGGCTGCTGTTCACTAGAAACCTAAAATACTATCTGCTATTATGTGCCTTTATTTTTGAAAATAATATTAATAAATAAATAAAACACAACAAACATTTTGAGGCTCAGGACCTAGACTTGATAGCGAGTTTTAGTTTCAGTATCTTAGTTACAGGTTTTTTGCTTCTGTTTCCTATGATGTATGCAATTTGTGCATTTTTTATCAGGTGATGTTGCCCTGAGAGTGTTCTTTTGCCTTTTAGTAATATAGTGTCACAAAGAAAGAAGGTATTATTTATGATGAAAAAATGAAATTAAAAACATTTATGATGATGCTGTTAACTGCTGCACGACATCAGTTTTCATTCTTTCCCTGTTAGTATCTGGTAGAATAACACTGGTACCATTTCCAGTTCTAATGGTGAGCAAATGGATGACTGGGATTTCCAGGATATGCTCAAGCAATTATATAGTAGATTAGGCATTAAAAAATAGTTTACAAAAAGCTACATGTTAGAATATGTTTAAAGTACTTAGGTTAAAACATACCCTTGACAATTTGTCCAGTCGTGTCCGATTCTAGGCGGCGGTGTTCATCTCTGTTTCCAACCCATAGAGCTAGTGTTTGTCCACAGACAATCCTCCGTGGTCACGTGGCCAGCATGACTAGACACGGAACACCATTTACCTTCTCACTGAGGTGGTACCTATTTATCTACTCACATTTTTGCATTTTGCATGCTTTCAAACCGCTAGGTTGGTGGGAGCTGGGACAGGCGATGGGGGCTCACTCCGTCCCGTGGATTCGATCTTACGACTGCCGGTTTTCTGACCTTGCAGCACAGAGGCTTCAGCAGATTAACCCACAGCGCCACCATGTCCCTTTTTTAAAGGTCTTACCTTGGTTGAAAAGAAAATGAAAGAAATAGTGAATTCTATACAGGGAACATCACAGAATAATGAAATGAGAGACTGAAATCTCACTTTAGGAATAATATCAAGATTATCAAGGAAATAGTCAGTTTATATTAACAAGGCTAAAACATAGATGGTAAGCTATCTGCTCTGAATAGAAAAATAGAAGAAGTAACTGTGAACCACATTCTTCAAGTTTTCAACTATGGCATTGGAGTATATTAAAATATTGGTGTGTATCCTCTTATGGAGCTCTTCTGGTGCAGAGAAATACCATCAGCAAGAGTGACAAATTCAAGAGTTCCTTATTCTTAATTTCAGGCTGCATGCAACCTTGTTTCATTGTGTATGCATCATATGCAACCCCAAATAAAACAAGGAACTCTTTAATTAGTGGCAGTCTGTTGCTGCCAGTGATGTCATTCCTGCTGCTGTGGTGGAGTACCACATCTGAAGTACTTGTTGAAATATTGTATTATTAAATATTGTATTATTAAAATATTAATTGTATTTTTGTTATATTTTCAGGTCATGTTTACAGGTGAAAATATCCCTGTTCATCCTCATGTTTATAGCAATGGTCATATCTGTTTATCTATTCTAACAGAAGATTGGTCTCCTGCTCTTTCAGTGCAATCAGTTTGTCTTAGCATTATTAGCATGCTTTCTAGCTGCAAAGAAAAGGTATGTTTTCAAAAAATAACTCTGAAATAAAGTGAGAGTTCACTCTTGGTTTTTAGGGGACCCTTAGACCCCACCTTTCAACACTCAAAACTGCTTTTTAGCATTTATATTTTTTAAATCTGCGTTTTCAGTGTGGGGAACATCCGTTTCCAGAACAACTCAGTAGCCTAGATTTAGTATCTAATTCACTTGATCAGATTTACCTTAGAGCTACAAAGTATTCTGACATCCTTAGAAAGGAAACACTCTTAAGTAGTTGTAAACTTTCAGGCAACTATCCTGGGTTTCACTTATACCTGCTGTGCTCTAAACAAAACATTAATATAGTCACATTGTTGTTCTGAGTAAAAGTGAATATAGAACAAGTTGCAACAAGTACTAAAAATTAATGTTGGGCACTCGAGTTACATCAAGAATATGAACTTTTTAATATAGCAAAATCAGGGGTTGCTTCTATCATTCTGATATATGACATTACTGTGGGATAGCATATTCTCCTGTCTAAGGCTACAGGATTTTTACTGTCCTAAGGTAGAGGAGTAGAGTCAGATATAGGAGAATAGTCATAGATTTGAAATAAAGCATCAGACTTTTTGTTGTGAGATACCCTAAGCAAACAAACATTTTCACCTCCAATTGTTCCATCTAGAAAAATGAAATGTAATATTGCTAGACATAAGACAGAATAAAACCTTTGCAAATTAACAAATAATAGATAGATGATATGCTATTTAAATAGATGATTTGCTGTTGAAGGCACAAGGATTATTTGCTTCCAACAATGTTCTCTATCTAAACATGGGCTAAGAAAAAAGGTTAGAAAGAGTAAAGGGACTTCCTCTAATGTATTCTCAAAGGCTTTCACGGCCGGGATCTGATGGTTGTTGTGGGTTTTTCAGGCTCTTTGACCATGTTCTGAAGGTTATTCTTCGTGACATTTCGCCAGTCTCTTCACATCCACAGTCTGGTTCCGATATACGGATGACACATTCACAATTTGGAACCACAGTGAAGAAAAACTGGAAGAATTTCTAAACCATGTTAACAAGATCCACCCAAATATACAATTCACTATGGAAAAAGAAATAGAGGGCCAACTCCCTTTCTGAGATGTCATGGTCATACGCAAAACTGACCTCCTATTGGGACACAAGGTCTACAGAAAACCTACCCACACAGACCTACCTACACAAAAACTCCAGCCACCACCCACAACAAAAAAGAGGCATAACCAAAACACTGGCAGACCGTGCAAATCGGAACTGTGAAGCCCAATTTCTCAGTACCGAACTCAACCATCTGAATTGGGCCCTACAGGTGAATGGCTATTCCAAGAATGAAATCAAAAGAGCCATCAAAGCAAGAAAACAACACCAAACTGAAGAGGAAAAACAGCCACCCAGAAATAAAGTATTTCTGCCATACGTCAGAGGGGTCATGGACCGCATGGGAAAACTTTTGAGAAAACACAACCTACAAACTGTATTCAGACCCACCACAAAAATACAACAAATATTACGGTCAGCAAAGGACAAAAGGGACCCCCTCACCACTGCAGGAGTATACCAGATACCTTGCAGTTGTGGACAGGTATATATTGGAACCACAAAATGCAGCATTCACATCAGAATCAAAGAACATGAGAGACACTGCAGACTAAAACAACGGGAAAAATTAGCAGTAGCTGAACATGCCCTAAAACTAGCTGGGCATGAAATTCTATTTCAAAATACTGAAGTACTGGACAACACCAACAATCATTATGTTAGACTGCACAGGGAAGCCATTGAAATCCATAAACACCAGCAGAGCTTCAACAAAAAAGAGGAAAGTCTGAAACTGAACAAGGCCTAGCTTCCAGCACTGGACAATACAGCCTGCAGAAGGTCAACAAATTCTACCCAGCCACAAGGACCAGGGATCATTGCACAAAAGAGACCAGCTAATTACACCCATCAACCACCGTGACAGATAATCTCTCCCACTTACCACAATACATCCACAACAAAAACACGCTGATCACCCTATCTCCTGAAAAGGACAAAAGCTGTTCCCACAGCTATAAATACTCAACTATCCAACAAACAGCAACAGAGCATGGAGAGTTCCTACTCCAGTCGTCTGAAGATGCCAGCCACAGAGACTGGCAATACGTCAGGAAGAACAACCTTCAGAACACGGCCAAGGACTTCCTCTAAGTTTTATCATTTCTAATTTGTACCAATCTTTCAGGAAATGTCACTGGAATTGCTGATCATTTGATCATTTTTTCTGTCTTCTTTCTTGCAGAGACGACCACCAGATAATTCATTTTATGTCAGAACTTGTAACAAGAATCCAAAGAAGACAAAATGGTGGTATCATGGTATGTGTTGACCTTGGAGACCTGTTCTGCAAAATGAAAAAGAGAAAGTATGAAACAGGTGTAGGACACTTTATCTCAAGAACCAAACATGTTCTAGGAGATTTATGCTGTCCTTTCAATCAGGAAGCACAGTGGGGAATTAAAACTACTGGCTCTGCTTCCATAGCCAGGTGCTCTAATTCCCTGAGATCTAGTAGTGGAAGTACAATTTATGTGCTTAGTAGCTATATAATCAGTATGGATGGAAACACCAGAGTAAAATACAGCATTGGGGACAATGCCTTCCTGACACCGCTTCAAAACTCTTGTGTGATATGCGGGTAATTAGGCCATAAGAGACAGATTGCTGCGCAAAGCTAAAAACATGTAGCAGCCAACAATCTACTATATAGGGCAGGTGCGTGTGGCTGTTTCTTCCCTTGCCATGCCAGAAGAGTAACAAGAGAAGTACCTGAAACATCAGATTATAGGTACTATCTAAGACCAGCAGGATGTTATCTGTCATCACTGCAATGAAAATTTCAGGAAGAGACAGCCTGGTAGAACTTCTGATCTTTTTTTTTCTTTGAACTTCTGATACCTATGGCAATGATAGAGGTTAGTCTTGGAGAAAAGAAATCTAGAGTTGCTTTGGATCTTGACCATAACCTAAATGTAACATGATTCTGCTCCTGTTTCATCAGTGCTATGGGACTTTCTTCTTACATATTCTATTAGCACCTCTTACAGCTTCTCAAAAAGCCACCTCCAGATGGCATGTGAGAAGCTCCGGTGGAAAACAGACATCACTCATCTTCTTATTCCACTGCTTCATTTTGTTCCTGTAGGGAAGTCTGTAACTGGATCCTGGACCCTAACTTCCCATATGTTATTTTAACCATGTTATCCTCTTATACTGGAGCAATTCAGTGAGTTTTCTTAAAACTTCAGACTTATGTGTTTGAATAAAACAAAGCAGAGGTTGTCTGTTTCTAAAATCTGTACTATTTCATAATATTTATAAATAGTACTATTTTTCGCGAAGGCTTTCATGGCTGGGATCTAATAGTTGTTGTGGGTTTTTCGGGCTCTTTGGCCATGTTCTGAAGGTTGTTCTTCCTGACTCAGGTTCCTGTGCTCAGGTTGCTATCCTCTGAAGATGCCGGCCACAGAGACTGGCGAAATGTCAGGAAGAACAACCTTCAGAACACGGCCAAAGAGCCCGAAAAACCCAGAAGAACCAGTACTATTTTTGTACTATTTTTCTGCACATCTTGTTGAACACGTTACATCAAATGTGTTGAGCTGTATTAAATAACTGCATTAAATATCTATGGATTGTGGACATGAATATATGTATATTACATAATATTTTTTGTTTTACTTTTAAGATGACACTTGTTGATGCCAACATTTTGTGATTCTCCTAAAAGAAGATAGTCCTACTGAGAAAATGAGCACTTTGATCATTCAATCTTTGAACTTTAACCTCCTGACTGGAAGTGACAAATAGGCAAATGAAGACTACTTCCTTTGACTGCATTTTTACTAGTGTGCATTCTGGGCACATGTTGATCGCTGGTTCAGTCCATGCTACTGACATGCTTTTCTTAGTCATATGGTATTAATGCAGGTGTTGGAAAATGTCAGAACTCAATTTTTTAACTTTTGGAAGAATTTCAGGTCTTCATGTATTGTGCAATAATAAGAATTTCTCAACGGTTTTGGTAAACCCATTGCCGGCAATAGATTGTATCAGGAAACTTATACCCTTGCCACAAGAAAAGTTAGATGCATGATAGGGCCTATGAAAAGTTTGAAGTATACTGGGATTATAAGTAACCCATCTTTAATTCAAAAGCCAACTAATTGTTTAAATATGGATTCTGTGCACTGTGATCATAAAATTAGCAACGCGAGTTAACACATGCTTAGCTAAAGAACTAATAAGATCATTGCATATTTACTGAACTGTCAATATTTTGGCAAGGAAGATTTTTTTAAAGTTATATCAGCAGAGAGGTACGTACTATGTTATCCCTATGGCAAAATATATACCTTTTGTTTGTATAATTCTGAAGCAAAGGTTTGAGTAAAATAGGGTAGATGTGATTTAATCAAGGCGAACTTAGTTCTGGAATTGGGAATATGGCAGTGATACAACAGAATTTGCTGCAGTCCGTGATTGGGCTTGTTAATATGTACACTAGAGTTGTTTTCCAAGTAGATTGCACACTGTTATTTCATACTAGCCTTCAGCATGGGCCCTGTTGCCTACACAATGTTTCATTTATTTATATGTTTGGAAAAATTTTGAGTTCATTGTTTCTTTTGTTTGTGTTGTATGTCATATTTGAATGTTACAGAACAATATTTTCACTGAAAAGCTGTCAGAAGATATTTTCTTGTAAATTATTTCCTTATCTTGTAAACATTTATCTTGTCTTTTAATCCTGTATTATAAAGGAAGAAATACATTTTGGACAGAGACGAGCTGTTTTGACAAAAAAGTGTGGATCTTTTTATTTAAACTTAAGACAAAAATATATTTTTCTTACCTTCCTTGTCCCATACAGCCATAGCAATTTTCCAAATTTTTTTCTTCAAAAGATCTGACTAAAACTAGGTTTACCTTTTTATATAGAAAACAATTGTTAAACAATAGTGAATTGTTCTTCACCTCTATATAATTGTAAGATATTTCATCTAGGCTGTCTTTTTAGGAAGCACTGATGTGTCTTTTATAAACTTACTACCTTTACACATATGCAAACTTTCTATTTCAGAGCTTTTTTTAATGTTGCCTTATTGTTGCACTAAAAGAAATGAAACCTAGTAGTAAATAAACGAATGTCTGAACTGAGTGAACACTTACTTGGTTTTTAAAGTAAGAATCAGCTCAGCTAAATAAACTTTCCAGGATTGGCTGAAGATATTATAGAATTTGTTCATTTGAGTTTTTTTTATTGCTGTATTGTAACTTACTAGTTTTTTAGATATGTATATACTACTGTATTTTCTTTAATATTTAAAAGAAATATTAATTACTAAACTCAGGGGTGGGTGCAAATGAAAGGGAAGAAAAGAAATGTGGAAGCAGTGAATTACAAACTGTCAATATGATAGGGGTGTTTTAAATAAGGAGATGGTATCTTTTCTATTTTGAAGAAAGTTCATTGGCCTCTTAATCAAAAGCGAATAGATGCTGTGGGTATAAACATGTTTATAAATGTTCATGGTTCTCTATTACAAAGTGAGAAGTATCCCTCTTTAATCTCTGTTAAAGCCAAAAATAATACTAAGGGATTGGAATATATACTCCTTTATAATTCTCTTGTAGCATATATTTTTATGTGTAAATTAAATCCTAATAATTCATTAAGGGATGTATGCAAACTGATAGTATGCATGAACAGTAAACCACAGAACATTTAATCAATATCTTCATACTTGAACAATTCATTGGGACTTTTTGTTAGAAAACTTTGTATATTGTTCATGCAACAGATTTACGTAATTAATCATGTCAGACTGTTCTCTGATCGTCAGTAAAGGACCACCTTAATATGTTTGAAAGTCTAAGCTAATTTGTCCATAAAAAAGGCTAAAGCCATTGTTCTAGTACTATGAGCTATGATACAGTACACTGGTTCTATGGGATGTTGATGTACATTCTTAACAACAATCCATGCTTTAGTGTTGCACACAGGTTGGATTAAATAGAAGTTAATACATTAACATTTTAAGTATCTGGGTTTCTTTATGCTACTGTTCTGCTTAAAACAATAGTGTGATAGCATTGAGTTGAAACCACATTTGCGCAGAATGGAACTTCGCAAGCTGGATGATTCTAGAGGTGAGGGGGAGAAGCAATTTTTACTCATTGCCCTGTAGCCCCAAACCGCCAGAAATCTGCTCCAGAAGTTTCAGAAATCTTCCAGAACAGTCTGTGAAATTCTGTTGGTAACTGGGAGGGGGAATGACAAATCGTTGAAAATCACTACCCCTCTCCTTTTAGCCAGAGGGGAACTTTTGCTATGTCCCAATTTCCGGGGGGGGGGGATTTTAGATTCAGTTCAGTATTACGTAAAAGTTTGCTATTGTTAAAATAGCAGTTCCAAAGACAATATCCAACAGTTCCCAGTCCATTAGCTGTATAAGTCCTTTTGATTTTTGGTGGGTGAAATTATTTGCTTTGAAATTTAAAAAATCCCAAAGCAGTATTTTTATAAGTATTGCCCTGCACATTCAGTTTAAGCATCATGCTTATCCAAGCAGAGTATTTCCCCATTCATAGATTTCCTCTTCTGATTAAGCCCACATTACACTAGCCTATTTATAGCCATTTGATGTTTATGTTTTACTTTTTAAAATTTGCTATGGTCACAGATTGCCATTTTTGCCAGAACAATGTAATTTCTGTAAAAATTTTCTAGGGTACAGAAAGTTTGCTGATTAGGACAATGTAAACAACTCTTGAGAGTCCCCTGGACTGCAAGGAGATCAAACCTATCCATTCTGAAGGAAATCAACCCTGAGTGCTCACTGGAAGGACAGATCCTGAAGCTGAGGCTCCAGTACCTTGGTCATCTCATGAGAAGAGAAGACTCCCTGGAAAAGACCCTGATGTTGGGAAAATGTGAAGGCGACAGAGGACGAGATGGCTGGACTGTGTTATCGACTCCGGGAGGCAGCGGAAGACAGGAGGGCCTGGCGTGCTCTGGTCCATGGGGTCACGAAGAGTCGGACATGACTTAACGGCTAAACAACAACAACAAAAACAACTATTGTTCTTCTGCTACTCTAGCAGAATAAGTGGTTTTTGCTGTAGGGTCCGCTTAGATAGAAGGCTTTATTGACTTAACATACATATCAGAAGGACAAGTAGGCCTAATAGCAAAACAATATAATGTTCTTCGGAAAATGAGTGGGTTTCCATAGGAAATGTACTCTGCAATGACATCTAATTGTCATTCAGTACATTGCTACTTAAAAGGTTACTTTTCTCACAACTAGAGATGGACACTTACGGCGGTTTGGTGGATTGGGCCCACACATGGTATGCAGGCTCTGCAGATTCTATACTTTGCCCAGAGGAGAAAATGGGGCTGGGAAACCTGCAGCACTGCCTCTGATTGGGTGCCGCTGAAGGTGGTGCATGGAATCCAGGGAACCTGTGCAACAACTGTGGGCCTGATCCACTGAACTGCGGTAAGTGCCCATCTCTAGTCACAATACATTGAAAAGGTTACATCTGCAGTCTTGTGGAACTGATAAACTTTTACATGTACTGTATTTTGCTACTTGAGCAAAATTAACTGTTTTCCCTGAGGTAACCTCTAACATGCAGTACATTTCTATTCAGACCTTCATGTTATGACCATATCTCACATGTCCAAAGCTACAATATTGTGCTGACTTGCCACTGTGATCCTGTATGCTACTTGGTAAGCAGTATTTTAATAAGTATTGCCCTGCACATTCAGTTTACGCATCATGCTTATCCAAGCAGAGTATTTTTCCCTTCTCCTCTCCTTCAATTTTCTTTTCTTTTTCTTTCTTTCTTTCTTTTTTTTGGGGGGGGGGGCTGGCTGGACAGCTCACTGGAACACCTCAATGGCTAGAGTTTGATTCCTCATTGTGCCATTGTGTGTGGCCTCTACAGAAGAAAAGAATGGTAACCATTTCTGGGCACTTTATACCTATAAAAAACTCAAGGAAAGTCACCCTAAATTAGAATAAACGTGACAGGATACATTTAGTATCAATTAAAAACAAAAACAAATGGAATGCTTAAGGAACAAATGAGCATATGGCCACCACAAAATACCTGCTTGCTCATTCTGATTGGTTTAAAAAACTTTAAATTCTTACTTTGTTTGTTTGTTTGATTTTTATACTGCCCATCTGGCTGCCAAGGCCACTCTGGATGGTTTACAAAAACATAATAAAACAACAACATAAAAACAAAGATATTCAGCAATGTTATGCTTAAATGACTTTTTGAAACAGCAACCGTTATTGTCATGACCATTTCTCATCTATTACAAAAAAAATTATTAAATATATCATTTACAAACACAAGGAATACACAGAAAGGTTATATCTAAAGAACAAATCTGGGTCATTAACAGCAGTGTATTATTTCTATTGCCCTTCAACAAGTTTAGCTATTTTTTTAAAAAAATACCTGTGTCACAACATAAGTGAAATGCAAACAATGGGGAGAGGAAATTGTATAAGATGCAGAGACAGTATGGCCCAGAATCTAGTATTGTATAATACAGTATTGACTAGAGATGAGCATGAATTAATTTGGTCCAATGCAACAAAATTAATTAGTGTGGCACCACAGGTGCCGCACATTCCCTCCCCACACCCTTTGACTGGCTGGCCTACTTAAAAATCCATCACACACTGCCCAGGTCCTCCTCTGGCAGCTGTCCAGTCCAGGAAGGAGCAGGGGTCTTCTCCTCTGCCTCCTCCAGCAGCACTCCACTCAATGGCGGAGATTCCCTGCCTCATCTTGTCTGAGTGGTTGCCGGAGGAAGTGGGGAAGGGAAGCCCAGCCCAGACTGGACAGCCATCAGAGAAGGAGGATCCAGCCAGTGAATGATTATAAGTGGGCCAGTCAGCCAAGGGGTGGGGGTAGGGAATGTACTTGTGCTGTGCCAATGAATTTTGTTGGAGTGGGCCAAATTAATTTGTGCCCATTTCTAGTATTTACCTTCCTAGCCATCTTTTGCTTGCATGGAAACTTGGCAATGCAGGAGTTTTTACTGGTCTAAATGGAACCTGAACTCTAAGAAAAGTATGAGTCTAGAGTGGTCGTTTTGACCAGATAGGCGGGGTACAAATAGAATAAATAAATAAATAAAAATATGAGGAACAGGGACCCAGAATTGATGAGTATGCAGAGCTACTGCAGATACAATCACAGACCTCCTTTGTAACCATCCATCTCATGTCCAGGGCTATACCCTAAATTGCAAACTCATTAACATCAAGAGAGTGAGAACAATTTACAAACATGCATGCTATCAAACATCTTGTACCATCAAGGTGTTTTTCCTAATATTCAGTCAGAATAATTTAAATCCAATAGTTCAAGTCCCACCTACATGATTAGTTTTATTTTGCTCAACCATCTCATAAGACTCACGTAATATAAGATAATGACTTGGGTTTAAAGATTTTGACCAAGCCTTTCTGTTCTACTTCATAACATGAATTATCTCATCATGTCTTCTTTTAAAGTAGTATTTGTTGATGAGCTACTTCATAGTAAGTGGGTTATTAGTATAAACTCATGTAATTGTAAAATTGCTCTGTCTTGGCTTCTAGAAGCATTTGTTAATCATATGTAATGTTTTATCTGAATCCTTTTTAAATTCACCTTGTCTGTGTAAAATTTACCACTACCAGATAACTATTACTAATAAGGAGGTTTACCATTCTTTTTTTCTGGGGGTACTCTGGGACTGTGCAGCTTGCCCAAGGCCACACAAGCTAACTCTACTCACAGGAGGCACAGTGGGGAATCAAATTCCCAACCTCTAGCTCCACAGATACCTAAACCACTGAGCTGTCCAACCCAGATAACTATTAGCTATTTTTTTCATGTCTAAAGCAAACAAATTCAAAAAATTCTTGAACCTCACTCAAGGACTATCATAAAATTTATCGCTTCCCTCTCATTCCCACAGCCAACTTCTTGGCATTTTTTTAAGCTGTCACTGTCCACATACAAAATAGTGCCCTATTTTGAGGCAAGAATTGATGGGTATTTGCTTATTGAACATCTGTTCCAGGAGGGAAAATGTATGTTCATAGGAATTGAGTCTAATTTTCAAGGTCATCTGGAACTGCCCTTCTAAAGGTGCTGACTGTTAAAGCTGCCTCACTTAACTATACAGTGGGGTCTCTACTTAAGAACGTCCCTACTTAAGAACAATCCAACTTAAGAACAGCTCCATTTGCTAAATTTTGCTTCTACTTGAGAACAGAAATCCAAGATAAGAACAGGAAAAAAAACCTTTCCTGCTCTTTTTTTAACCTTAGGTCATCTTAGGTTAAAAAAATTCTCCCCCTAGTGGTAGAGTACGTATTAACCAGCTTTGCATTAGTTCCTATGGGAACTAATGCTTCAATGTACGAACGCACCTCTACATAACAAAAAAACAGCCAGAACGGATTAATTGGTTTTCAGTCCATTCCTATGGGAAATTTTGCTTCAACTTAAGAACGTTTCAACTTAAGAACACCATTCCAAAACGGATTAAGTTCTGAAGTAGAGGTTCCACTGTAGTTTCTATGGACAGAAAAGAGCAGATACGGATTAAATGGTTTTCAATGCATTCCTATGGGAAATGCAGATTCAACATAAGAACTTTTCAACTTGAGAACCACCTTCCAATACGGATTAAGTTCTTAAGTAGAGACCCCACTGTAAACGGAAAAGATCCTTTCATATTGGTTGTTCTGGGTTTTCCAGGCTCTTTAGGTGTTCTGAAGGTTGTTCTTCCTGACGTTTCGCCAGTCTCTGTGGCCGGCATCTTCAGAGGACAG